TGTTCTCTAAGCCCTGGATACGTCTTGTAATCTTTCACACTTTATTCCTAAAATGTGTCTTATTTTTATGCAGCTAATTTTTTCTTTAAAGGAGAAAACTTGTAGGTGTTTAAGAATTGGTTTTGGGAGGGCGAGGACTGGGCCAGGTTAGAGGCAGATGGCGCAGGGGCGTATGGCAGGCAGGTGAGGCTGCTCTGTGCACACCTGGGTCGGTGGCTGCAGCAGGACAGGTGTGTGCCCAGCACCCTCCCCACCTGGGCCTGGGGGCAGATGAGGGGAATACTTCATGCAAGGAAAAAAGTAACATATGCAAAAGCTCCCCATCCAGCTTTGACAGCCAGCTGTGGTGTCAGCCCCTCGGCAGGGTAGGCCTGATGACAGCCCTGTCCCTCCCTGCCTCGGCCTTGCTCAGGGCCACTGAAGGTGTCCGCAGAGAGGCCTGCCTTCCGGATTCCAGGCGGGCATGTGCTGCAAACCCTGCCTGGGCCTCCCTTGGTCTGCCCAGCCTGGATCAGTAGATACTTGAACGAGTCCCCAGTCTGCGGGAGGCAGCGGTGGGGCCATGGACCCACGCGGGGGGTTCCAGGGTCACACACCACATAACAGACAAAAATACACACATGTGTGTTTTTCTTTGCAATACTTGAAATATTGCCACTGTGCTTGGACTTAGAAGAAGAAAATCCCCGTGATTTCTTCCTCATCACCTTGATGGCTTTATTCTCACCTTGTGGGGCATGTTAGTATTTATTGCTTCATGGCTGACTGGAATCTTGAGTCCTGGGAAGCTGGCACTACGGGGATCTTGCCTGGCGTCCTGGTCCTCTTGCTTCCGTCGCGGCCGCGTGTGCGTGTGTCCAAGCAGGTCCTGGGCGCCTCAACTGCCGCCCCTGGTTGAATGTTCTCTTGATAGTGCTGGACCCTTTGTCTATTTTAAAGCAAATTTTGTGTGATTTCCTGCCCTTTGCGTTATATTGTGTAATATCAATTTAAGGAAATAAACCTTTGGAATTGTTGGGCTGGTGTCACCTCTTGTCTTCGTTGGCTTGTCACTGTTCTCAGGGTTTTGTCATTTTCTTTCTCAGCCAAGGCGCAGGAGCCCCAGGGCCCCCTCCATTGGTGGCCACAATGGCCGGACACAGCTCTAGGAGCAGAGCCCCAGGGCAGAAGCTGGATATGTGAGGGACAGTGCAGACTCCTGTGCTGTAGGAAGCCTCTCCCGCCAAGCTGGAGGTCCTGCACAGGGTGAACAGACTCCAGAGGGCAGGGCACCCACGTTGGGATAGCTTTGGGCACCTGCTTTGACTTCTCTGGGGGATACACCTAGGAGGGGCCACGTGGAGCTCTGTGTGAATTTCCAAGAAGCCTCAGACTATTCACTGCAGCGGCTGAGCAGCTGGGCCTCCAAGGCCTCACCTTGTGGTTTTGATTTGCATTTCCCCAAGGGGTCCTGACGTTGAGCATCACAGGTACTTGGCGGCCATTTGTGTGTCTTTGGAGGAACATCTAAATCCTTTGCCCTTTTTTTTTTTTTAATTTGAGACAAGTAACTCTTGCTCAGGGTGGAGCGCAGTGGCACAATCTTGGCTCACTACAACCTCCGCCTCCCAGGTTCAAGAGATTCTCCTGCCTCAGCCTCCTAAGTAGCTGGGACTACAGGCATGCACCACTGTGCCCGGCTGATTTTTTTATTTTTAGTAGAGATGAGGTTTCACATGTTGGCCAGGCTGGTCTCGAACTCCTGTAGGGTTTGCATTTTTTAAACTGTATATTGTATATTGTTTTTATTAGATAAAAATAACTTGCTAAAAACTGCTAACCGCAATAAGAAGTGAAAGTTCATTGAGAGGTTGGTGTTCTCGAGGAAGGGGAAGGCGGAGACCTTGATTTCTGAGTCCCAAGACGGGCTGCTTCCAAACAGCCTCCTCAAACAGGAGCAGCTGCACTCAGCACCGGGTGAGGTGTGGTGCGGCAGCTGCCAGGCCGTGGGCGCTGTGGTCCTCCTGGTACGTCTGTAACGTAAAGAAATGCCCAGACAGTCACTACAAACATGGAATTTAATATTTTTTAGAGCAGTTTTATAGTTTTAGGAAAATTGAGTAGGACGTACAGAGACATCTGCCCTCTCTCCCGTCAGTAACAGGTCAGGTTCGTGCAGTGCCTTTGTCTCTGCTGTTGAACCCAATATTCATATTTTAGATTTTCAAAAATCATGGACACTTCTAATACAACAGGTTCTGTGTTACCACTCAAAGTCTGCAGTTCACATCATGGGGTCACTCGATATACACTGGGTGTTGCAAAGGTGTCATGCCACACATCACCCTAAGGTCCTCTGGGCTCCACCTGTTCCCCTCTCCCAGCCTAGCTCCACTGGCCACTGATCTTCCTGTCCTCATAGTTGTTTTTGTTTCAGAATGTCCCGTAGTTGGGAACATACACTATGCCCAGGGCCTGGGAGCGCATTTCCATTTTTTTTTTTTTTTTTTTTTTTGAGGCAGTCTCGCTCTGTTGTCCAGGCTGGAGTGCAGTGGCAGGAACTCAGCTCACTGCAACCTCCACCTCCCAAGGTTCAAGCGACTCTTGTGCCCCAGTCTCCTGAGTAGCTGGGATTATAGGCCTGAGCCACTGCACCCAGCCTGGCTAAGTTTTGTATTTTTAGACAGGGGTTTTGCCACGCTGGCCAGGCTGGTCTCAAACTCCTGGCCTCAAGTGATCCATCCTCCCAGCCTCCCAAAGTGTTAGGATTACAGGCATGAGCCACCGTGCCTGGCCTCATTTCTTTTTAGAGATGCATAGTATTCCATTGTCTGGAGGTACCACAGTTTTTCCATTCACCTGCCGACATATCAGTTGTTTCCACGTTTGGGCAGTGGTAAATAAAGCTGCTGTAAAGGTCCATGTGCCAGAGCCAGGTGGTGAGGGTGGGCCCAGGGGAAGCCGTGGCAGTGCAGGAGGGACCGCATCCTTGCACACTCCAAGCCAGCGGGACCAGGCCTTGGTGCCCGCACTCTCACAGAACTGTGGCCCCCTGGGTGCCTGTCCATACCCCCTGCCTCAGTCCTGGAGCCTGGGCTGGTGGAGGGGTACCCTCCTGGGAGGTCATTTAGTATGGGTGAGCTGCCCTCCCACCTGGCCAATTGCATCCCCCTCCTGCCTCCCCTTACTGCCTCGGCCACCAGCTCCTCACAAGCCACACGCAGCCCATTGAGTACCCCGTGGGAAGGGGTGTCAGATTGGATCCCTGGGGCTCCCATCTCACAGCCAATGCCACGGGGCCCCACACAACCTGGCCCCGGGCCCCTTGGTCCTCTTTTCCTATCAGTCCCTCATCACGCAGCCCTGTGGTTTCTCTGCCTCCATACTCCAGGTGGGCACAGTGCCCAGGCCCTGCTGAGTCCTCACCTGTAGGAGGAGGTGCAGCCCCTGGAGGGCAGGAGTGGGGCTGCTGCAGATGGCTGGCTCCTGCCTCCCCACCTTTGCACTGCCAGGAGCATGCTCTCCCTGGCCCATGGCCCATTCCCCAAATTCAAGCTTGTGGTTGGCTGAATTGTGGCCCCAGATATGGGATTAAGGATTTTGAGATTATGCCAGAGGGCGGGTCCAGAATCATATGAGTTTCTCTAAGGGAAAGCAGGAGGACAGGAGGGCAAGCTTGGGAGAGGAGGCAAGGAAGTGGTGGGTGCAGTGGCCACACCGGGAACCCCAGCACTTCAGAAGGGGAGGCAGGCGGATCGCTTGAGCTCAGCATTTGGAGATCTGCCTGGGCAACACAGTGAGCCGGTCCCTTAAAAAAAAAAAAAAAAAAAAAAGGCTGGTCGCGGTGGCTCACGCTTGTAATCCCAGCACTTTGGGAGGCCGAGGTGGGTCAGGAGATCGAGACCATCCTGGCTAACATGGTGAAACCCCGTCTCTACTAAAATACAAAAAAATTAACCAGGCGTGGTGGCGCGCGCCTGTAGTCCCAGCTACTCGGGAAGCTGAGGCAGGAGAATCGCTTGAGCCCGGGAGGCGGAGGTTGCAGTGAGCCGAGATCCCGCCACTGCACTCCAACCTGGCGAAAGAGCAAGACTCTGATTCCCCGCCCCTCCCCCCCCCACAAAAAAAGAGTGGCCACTTTTCAGGAGACCGCATCTCTATAAAAAATAAGAAAAAATTAGCTGGGCGTGGTGGCGCGCGCCTGCGAGGACCGCTGGAGCCCGGAGGCGGAGGCTGCGGTGGGCGGCGACCCCCTTCCACGGTGCGGGTGAAGGCCAGGGCGGAGCCTCCCCTGCGCCCCAGCGTCTGTGGAACCGGGACGGGGCGCGGGGCTGAGGCCACACGAGGGCCGCACAGGGTGGGTGCCACTGAGGGTCTGGGGGCCGAGCCCGTGGGAGGGGACCCGGCAGCGGAGAGGAGCGGGGCCGGCGTGGGCTCGGAGTTTCCCCTGCTCCGCTGGGCGGGCGACAGCACCCAGGAGCCGGCGGCGGTGCGACCACTGCTCACACGTTTCGCCGCGCGGCCGCGGTGCCGGATGCGGGAGGGCCTCGTGTCCCGTCCCTGACACCCCCAATCCCCGCCCCCAACACCCCAAAATCCCCGCCCCCAACACCCTAATCTCCGCCCCCATCCCACCCCGCAAATCTCCCTCATCCCAGTCTCCGCCCCGCCACTTCTCCGGAAGAATTTTTGTCCCCGCTCGGCCGCCGTCCAGCCGCTCGTTCCACTTCCGCCTTCGCCCACGTGGTCCGGCTCCGGCTCAGTCAGCCGCGTAGTGAGTGGGGCCTGACGCTAGGCGATCTTCTCTGGTCCCGACGCGGGTGGTCCGGGTCTCTTCGACTCCCGAGGAAAGCCCACTGGGCGGGGAGGGAGGTGAAGGGGCTGGGGCGGTCAGAGGTTAACCTGGGTGTCAGGGGACGTTGGAGTTTATCCGTCAGGGTCCCGGGGCGGTCTGGGGACAGCAGAGGCGGGGCTTGGGCGCGGGGCCCGAGGGGTCAGGGGTCAGCAGGAGCGAGGCTGGGGCATCAAGGTCCGAGAGGTCAGGTGCCAGCAGGAGCGGGCTTGGGGTGTGCGGGTCCGAGAGGTCAGAGGTTAGCTAGAGAGGGGTTGGGGCGCCGGGTTCCCGGAGGTCAGGGGTCAGCAGGAACAGGGCAGCAGCGTCAGGGTCCGAGAGGTTAGGGGTCGGCAGAGGCGGGGCTGGGACCCTGGGGGTCAGGGCTCGGGGGTCAGGGCGGGGTCGGGTTCGCTGGTAGCCTGCGCATGGGCCTCCAGCTTCGCGCGCTGTTGGGAGCCTGCGGACGGTGGACCCTGCGCCTGGGACCGCGTCCGTCCTGGTAATGACCGCGACGCCGGGCGACCCCGACACGCCCGCTCAGCCCAGCCCACCCCACCCCTCCCCGCGCGGTGCCGACCGGACCCCCGCTCACGCTGCCCTTCTCCGCAGCTCGCCGCGCATGGCGGGGAACGCGGAGCCACCGCCCGCGGGATCCGCGCGCCCCCAGGATCGGAGGTCCCGCAGTTGCTGGGCCGGGGGTGCCCGCGTCTGGGAGGACGGAGAGCATCCGGCGAAGAAGGTCAAGAGCGATGGGGACGAGGAGCGGCGCGGGAAGCTGCCCAAGCGCAAGATCGTGCTGCTCATGGCCTACTCGGGCAAGGGCTACCATGGCATGCAGGTGTGGCCGCCCGGGAAGCGGCGGGTCCCGCGGGGCTTAGGTGCGGGTGCGGCCGCGGTGGAAGCGGTGGGTCCGGCTGGGTTTAGGTGCGGGCCCAGGCAGCTTTCACTGGTCCTGCTGCACGCGAGCTGCTGCCTTCCATCAGGCCCGGCCCTGCCGCTAACCACTGGGATCTGAGGCGGGGTTCACTTGCTGTGTGCTGGAGGCCTCGTCTTTAGGATGGGAGTGCTGCCAGCACCTGCTAAATAGGGTGTGAAGATGAGCTAGGTGTACTGACGCTCAGTGCTGAGAACAGTGGACAGCGCGTTACAGCTCAGAAGAGCCTGCCGTCGTGTGCGTTAAAGGGACAGAGCTAAGTATTAAAGTTGTGAGGATTCTCTCCTCAGCCCACTTCCTTTTCTGGAAAGTAGAGGGTGTGGATGCATTCAGGTAGGCGTATTTTTTTTTTTTTTGGAGGCATGGTCTTCCTTTGTGGCCCAGGCTGGAATGCAGTGGTGCATCCACTGCTCGCTGCAGCCTCCACCTTCTGGGCTCAAGAGATCCTCCTACCTCAGCCTCCCAAGCATTGAGGACTGTAAGTGTCCTTGACCTCACGGCCCGAATACTTTTTTTTTTTTTTTTTTGAGACGGAGTCTCGCTCTGTCTCCCCCAGTGGCGTGATCTCGGCTCACTGCAAGCTCCGCTTCCCAGGTTCACGCCATTCTCCCGCCTCAGCCTCCAGAGTAGCTGGGACTACAGGCGCCCGCCACCACGCCCAGCTAATTTCTTCTTTTTGTATTTTTAGTAGAGACGGGGTTTCACCGTGTTAGCCAGGATGGTCTCGATCTCCTGACTTCGTGATCCGCCTGCCTCGGCCTCCCAAAGTGCTGGGATTACAGGCTTGAGCCACTGCGTCCGGCCTAATTTTTTTTTAAATTTACAGAAATGGGGTCTTGCTAAGTTTCTTATTATTTATGGGAATGGGGGCTCGCTGTGCTGCCCAGGCTGCTCTCGAACTCCTGGGCTCAAGCCATCCTCCTGCCTCAGCCTCCCCGTGTTGTGATTACAGGCATGAGCCACTGCGACTGGCCTCAGGTGGACGTTCCTTTTGTTCCTTTTTGTAATTAACACTGTGGCTTTGCCTGGTTCTGTGTTCTTTAAGCATCTTTAAGCTTATCCACAGAAGTTCGTGCAGTGCATGCAGTGTTTGACTGAAACAAAAGTTTAAGAAGATAATGCTTAACTTTGGCAGTTGTTGTAACAGCTTTTATGGCGAAAGTTACAAGTAATGGATTGCTTTTTTTTTTTTGGAAAGAGAGTCTCGCTCTGTCGCCCAGGCTGGAGTGCAGTGGTGGGATTTTGGCTCACTGCAACCTCCACCTCCCGGGTTCCAGTGATTCTTGTGCCTCAGCCTCCCGAGTACCTGGGACTATAGGCGCCTGCCACCACGCCCGGCTAGTTTTTTATTTTTAGTAGAGACGGGGTTTCACCATGTTGGCCAGGCTGGCCTTGAACTCCTGACATCAAATGATCCTCCTGCCTCCGTCTCCCAAAGTGCTGGAATTACAGGGGTGAACTACCGAGCCCAGCCAACCACTGTGCACTGCAATCTCTGCCTCCCAGATTCAAGTGATTTTCCTGTCTCAGCCTGTTGAGTAGCTGGAATTAAAAGCATACCTGACTAACTTTTATTTGTATTTTTTTTGAGACAGCGTTTTCCTCTGTCGCCTAGGCTGTAGTGCAGTGGTGCACTATCGGTTCACTGCAGCTTCCACTTCCCAGGTTCAAGCGATTTCTCCTGTCTCAGGAGCCCGCCACCACACCTGGCTACTTTTTGTATTTTTAGTAGACACAGGGTTTCACCATGTGGGCTAGACTAGTCTCGAACTCCTGACCTCAGGTGATCCACCCGCCTTGGCCTCCCAAAGTGCCGGGATTACAGGTATGAGCCACTGTGCCTGGCCATGGATTACTTTATATCTGATGTTATATTGTTTAAGTATAGGTAGCACCCACGGCACTGATGTCATAACTGACAGATTGTGGAAGTAGGTGTGTACACAGGTTCAGTCAAACCTGCGTTTTGATTCCATTCCACGCTACCCATCCCCTGGCGTGGAGCAGCCCAGGCTCAGGGCGAGTGAGCAGAATACAGTGTTTTCACATGAGCGTGGCAGCTCACACTTGTAATCTCAGCGCTTCAGGCCAGAAGAGCGCTTGAGACCAGGAGTTTGAGACCAGCCTGGACAACGTGGCGACCCCCATCTGCAAAATATAAAACCTGTTTTTGTCTCCTTTTTCCAGAGGAATGTTGGGTCTTCACAATTCAAAACAATTGAAGATGACTTGGTGTCTGCCCTCGTCCGGTCAGGCTGTATTCCTGAAAATCATGGCGAGGACATGAGGAAAATGTCCTTCCAGCGCTGTGCCCGGACAGACAAGGTGGGTGACGGCCTTTTCTGCCCCTTCCCGGCTGATAAGAGCAGCACCCGGCCCACTTTCCAGCTCAGTGTCCTGACTTGTTGTGCTGCTTCTGAGCACATATGATGTGCAAATCTAACTAGCCTACACCTTACGTAGGTGAGATGTCCAGGAGCCTGGTCAGCTCAGGTATAGCCGGATCTAGGTGCTTCCTGCCAGCGGGGCTCTGTGTTCTCTCTGGTCTTTGCTTTCTCTTGTGTTGATTCTGTTCTCAGGGACATACATTCCTATGTTGATTCTGTTCTCAGGGACATGCATTCCTGCAGGTGGCCCAGGGGCAGCCGCAACGTCTGCCTTCGACCCTCCAATCAGGCTCACTCTGAGGCAAATATGATTGTGTGGCTCCGAAGGCAGAGAGCCACACTTGTATGATGCAGCATTCTCTTTTCTTTCCTTTTTTAGAGTCAGGGTCTCATTCTCTTGTCCAGGCTGGAGTGCAGTGGCACGATCCGGGCTCACTGCAGTCTCAAACTCCTGGGCTCAAGCAGTCCTCCTGCTTCAGCTTCCCGAGTAGCTGGGTGAATTGGTCTGTTTTCACGCTGTTATAAAGAACTGCCCAAGATTGGGCAATTTATAAAGAAAGAGGTTTGACTGACTCAGTGCCACATAGCTGGGGAGGCCTCAGGAACCTTGGATCATGGTGGCAGGCGCGAGAGTGAGGAGGGTAAGGGGAAGAGCCCCTTATAAAACTGTCAGATGTTGTGAGAACTCACTCACGGTTACGAGAACAGCATGGGGGAAACCATGCGCATGATCCAGTCACCTCCCACCAGGTCTTCCCTAGACATGTGGGGATTACCATGCAACATGAGAATTGGCAGGGACACAGCAAACCATCTCACCGGAACGACAGGCACTCCACCATGCCTGGCTAAATTTTTTTTTTTTTTTAATATGAGGTCTTGCTATGCTGCCCAGGGGTCTCAGACTCCTGGGCTCTGGTGATTTTCCCACTTTGGCTTCCCAAAGTGCTGGGATTTACAGGCATGAACCACCACATCTGGCTTGAAATTAATAAATAATTCGCTGTATTATAAACTCAGTATATTCAGGATATCCTTATTTCAGCGTGTAATCCATATAAAAATCTCTTCATGGGATAAATGTAATACTGTTTTTGTGTGTGTGCTAAGTCCACACTCATCACATCTCCACCACCCTGGACCCGTTACATGGTCTCAGCTGCGTGGGGCTGGTGACCCAGCACTGACCCTTCAGAACCACAAGGCTGAGTTCCCGTTTCCGATGGGTTTGCACATCCACCCTGGACGCTGCTGCTGGCTGTGTGGCAGCACATGCCAAGTGGTCCTGTGACGCCACATTGCTGTGCTTGGAACTGAACCATGGGATTGGATGTGGGCAGAGTGGCCCGCCACAGGGAATGGAGATGTCTTTAAGGAGGGACCTAGTGTAGGGTCCAGCCCTACAGGACCTGTGGGTTTTCTTTCGTGTGCAGAGACGAGAGATCGTAGAAAAATAAAGACATGAGACAGAGAGATAGAAGGAAGGACAGCTGGGCCCAGGGGACCACTGCCACCAGTGTGTGGAGTCCGGTGGTGGTCCTGAATGCCCGGTGCACTGCTGTTTATTATATACAAGGCAAGGGGGCAGGGTATGAGTCGTCTCAAGTGATGGATAAGGTCACACGAGTGACGTGTCCACGGGACGGGGGTCTTTCCCTTTGTGGTAGCTGAGGCGGAGAGGGGGACAGCATACATCAGCATTTCTTCTATGCGCTCGTCAGAAAGATCAAAGACTTTAATGCTTTTACTAATTCTGCTACTGCTATCTTCTAAGAACTTAAAAGGAGGAGCCAGGTATACAGGCGGAACATGAAAGTGACCAGGAGTGTGACCTTTGAAGCACAGCCCCACAGGAGACGTTGAAGCCTCCGGATGACTGCGGGCAGGCCTGGGTCATGTCAGGCCTCCCACGAGACGTGCTGGAGCAGAGTGTTCTCGGACTGCCCCAGGGAAAGGGAGACTCCCTTTCCCGGTCTGCTAAGTAGCAGGTGCCTTCCCAGGCACTGGCGCTACCACTAGACCGAGCAGCCCTTATCTGGGAGTGACCGAGGACTCACACTCTTGTCTTCTGGTCACCTCTCACAGTGTCCCTTCAGCTCCTGACTCTGTATGGCCTGGTTTTTCCTAGGTTATAATTATAGAACAGAGATTATTATAATAAAAAAGAACAATACTACAAATATTGATGTTACATATAATCATATCTGTATCCTATTTCTAGTATAACTTTTCTTATTCTAATTATTTTCTTTATTATACTGGAACAGCTCGTGCCTTCAGTCTCTCGCCTCGGCACCTGGGTGACTTGCCGCCCGCAGCCCAACATTTGGCAGACAGGGACAGCACAGCTGGAGAGAACAGATAGCTTTTCTGTAGCATGTAGAAGGCATCAGTGAATGTGATACCTGTCATCCTTGCCTGTGAGAGTATCTGGCTCTAACATGGCTCTCAGGCTGCCTGAGGGCATTGGGGGTCTCTCAGAGACATAACTTTTTGCTGGTCAGGATCCCCAGGAATCTGAATAAAGCTATGGCTCTTGTTCCCACAAACACCTAGTTTCAAAGGCACACAGGTCCCTGGGGATCCATGGACGCATGCTAGAGCCATCGTGTAGAGGGGAGAACACAAGAGGGACCCACAAGTTCACTCCTAGTGGGTGATGCCTTTGATGGCCCAAGGTAGAGAGTTCTGTGGGTCTTACTATTTCCATTTTCTTTTTGATTCTCCATTTACAGCTCTCTGATTGTTTTTAGGGAAGAAGAAAGTAACAATTTGTTCAAGCTGATGAAGAGAGCATTTCAAAATAGGGTCCTTGTATATATTTTTAGTTCTGCTGTTGTTAGAGAGAGAGTTTGGTTCTAATATGTTTTCTCACTTGCAATTGGAAAACCTGCAGAAGTAGATCCATGAGGCCAACGTGGTCGCACCCGAGTGCCCTGCCCTTCGGGTGAAAACAGTAACATCTTAACAATTTTTATTATTTATTTGTTTATTTATTTTTGAGACAGTTTCATTCTTGTTGCCCAGGCTGAAGTGAAATGGCGGGATCTCAGCTCACCGCAACCTCCACCTCCCGGGTTCAAGCCATTCTTCTGCCTCAGCCTCCCAAATAGCTGGGACTACAGGCATGTGCCACCAAGCCTGGCTAATTTTGTATTTTTAGTAGAGATGGGGTTTCTCCATGTTGATCAGGCTGGTCTCGAACTCCTGACCTCAGGTGATCCGCCCTCCTCGGCCTCCCAAAGTGCTGGGATTGCAGGTGTGAGCCGCCACGCCCGGCCTATTATTTTTTTGTGTGTGTGTGTATTTCTGCTGTTTAACATTTTGTTTTTGTTTCAGATTTTAAAAATAGCTTTATTGAAATATAATTCACTCTTGGCCGGGCGCGGTGGCTCATGCCTGTAATCCCAGCACTTTGGGAGTCTGAGGCGGGCGGATCACTTGAGGTCAGGAATTTGAGACCAGCCTGGCCAACATGGAGAAACCATGTCTCTACTAAAAATACAAAATTAGCCGGGTGTGGTGGTGGGTGCCTGTAATCCCAACTACTCAGGAGGCCGAGGCAGGAGAATTGTGTGAACCTGGGAGGCGGAGGTTGCAGTGAGCCAAGATGGTGCACTCCAGCCTAAGTGACAGAGTGAGACTCCATCTCAAAAAAAAAAAGCAAAAAAAGAAATAGAATTCACTCTTATACAGTTGACCCATTGAAAGTGTACAGTTCAGGCCAGGCGTGGTGGCTTATGCCTGTAATCCCAGCACTTTGGGAGGCCAAGGCGGGTGGATCACCTGAGTTCAGGAGTTCGAGACCAGCCTGGTCAATATGGTAAAACCCCGTCTCTACTAAAAATACAAAAATTAGCCAGGTGTGGTGGCACATGCCTGTAATCCCAGCTACTCAGGAGGCTGAGGCAGGAGAATCGTTTGAATCCGAGAGGTGGAGGTTGCAGTGAGCTGAGATCGTGCCATTATACTCCAGCCTGAGCAACAAGAGTGAAACTTCATCTGAAAACAAAACGAAAAAACCTAAAAGAAAGTGTACGGTTCAAGCTGGGTGTGGTGGCTCACACCTGTAATCCCAGTACTTTGGGAGGCCAAAGTGGACGGATCACTTGAGGCCGGGAGTTCGAGACCAGCCTGGCCAACATGACAAAATCCCATCTCTACTAAAGATACAAAAATTAGCCAGGCGTGGTGTGTCACACCTGTAATCCCAGCTACTTGCGAGGCTGAGGCATGAGAATCTCTTGAACACGGAAGACGAAGGTGGCAGTGAGTCGAGATTGCATCACTGAGCTCCAGCCTGGCAAAAAAAAAAAAAGAAGAAGAACGTATACAGTTCAGTGGTTCCCGTATATTCACAGAGCTGTGCAGCCATCACCACAGCCAGACATAGGCCATCCCAGAGATACCGGGTGTCCCTCTGCTGTTGTCCCTACCCCCCCCAGGATGTTTCCGATATTCTCACTTCAACTTCTTGTCAGTACAAAGTGTTTGGCAATGAGATGTATTTTCTTTCCCTTTTTTGGCGCTAAGTCTTTGAAATCTGTTGTGTATTTACCTAAAGTCATCTTGTTCCAGAACAGCTCGTTTCCTTCTGTCACGTTCCATGTGTGGGTCTGGCCAGTGGAACATCTCAACAGTTTTGCTCTCCAACTTTTTATTTTGAAAATTTCATACCTTCATAAAAGTCTTTTTTTTTTTTTTTTTTTTTGAGACGGAGTCTCGCTCTGTCGCCCAGGCTGGAGTGCAATGGCCGGATCTCAGCTCACTACAAGCTCCGCTTCCCAGGTTTACGCCATTCTCCTGCCTCAGCCTCCCGAGTAGCTGTGACTACAGGCATCCGCCACCTTGCCCGGCTAGTTTTTTGTATTTTTTTAGTAGAGACGGGGTTTCAGCATGTTAGCCAGGATGCTCTCTATCTCCTGACCTCGTGATCCGTCCATCTCGGCCTCCCAAAGTGCTGGGATTACAGGCTTGAGCCACCGCGCCCGGCCCATAAAAGTCTTAATGATAATACCGTGAGCACCCACATAGTCTTCCCAGATTCACCAAGGTTAGGTTTTTACCATATTGGCATAGTTGTGTGTGTGTGTGTGTGTTTTAATTCATTTTATTTTTTGAGATGGAGTTTCACTCTTGTTGCCCAGGTTGGAGTCCAATGGCATGATCTCGGCTCACTGCAACCTCCACCTCCCGGGTTCAAGTGATTCTCCAGAGCCAGCCTCCCAAGTAGCTGGGATTGCAGGCGCCCGCCACCACTCCAGCTAATTTGTTGTATTTTTTTTTTTTTTTTTTTTTGAGACGGAGTCTCGCTCTGTCGCCCAGGCTGGAGTGCAGTGGCCAGATCTCAGCTCACTGCAAGCTCCGCCTCCCGGGTTCACGCCATTCTCCTGCCTCAGCCTCCCGAGTAGCTGGGACTACAGGCGCCCGCCACCACGCCCGGCTAGTTTTTTGTATTTTTTAGTAGAGACGGGGTTTCACCGTGTTCGCCAGGATGGTCTCGATCTCCTGACCTCGTGATCTGCCTGTCTTTGCCTCCCAAAGTGCTGGGATTACAGGCGTGAGCCACCGCGCCCAGCCGTACCTGGCCTTTTGTATCTTAAAATGGAACCATTTGAGAGTAAGTTGCAGACATCATCACCTTTTACCCTGAAACATCTTAACATGAGTCTCCTAGGGACTGTGACATCCTTCAGCCACCTCACACTATAAATTATTACGCATGTGAAATTCAGCATTAATAGAGTACCACCCTCTGACATGTCTAAAGTTGGAAACTGTCTTTTCTGTTTTCTTTTTCTTCAGCTTCTTTGTGGCATGCCTTTTATTTTTGTTAATTGGTCGGGGATCTAATCTAGGATCATTATTGGCATTCAGTTATCATGTCTCTAGAGCTTCCTTTAATCGAAAGCGATCTCCTTGGCCCGGCATGGTTGCTCACGCCTGTAATCCCAGCACTTTATGAGACTGAGGTGGGAGGATCACTTGAGGACAGGAGTTCCAGACCAGTCTGGGCAACATAGCAAGACACTGTCTCTACAAAAAAATTTAAAAAACTCTCCAGACATTGTGGTGCCTGCCTGTAGTCTCAGCTACTTGGGAGGCTGGGGTGGGAGGATTGCTCGAACCTGGGAGGTCGAGGTTGCTGTGAGCCAAGATGGCAACACTGCATTCCAACCTGGGTGACAGACCAAACCTTGTCTCAAAAAGAACCGAACAAAAAATCTATAGAAACTTACTTTAAAAAAGAGGTATAATATACAACAGTAAAGCGTGCTAGTCTTAAGCATAAGCTTGATCAGTTTTTACCTGTGTACCCACCTGTGTACCCACTGCCTGTCCCCAGAAGGCCCCTCCCTTTCCCCCAGGGCCACCGCTGTTCTGACTCCAGTGGGGACCACCTCCTCACTCTGCCCTTGGTTCTAAGTTGTGTTTTCTCTTTTCCCCAATCCTTGGGAGTCATATCTTTTTTTTTTTTTTGAGGTAGAATCTGACTGTGTCACCCAGGCTGGAGTGCAGTGGCAGGATCTTGGCTCATTGCAACCTCCAACCTCCCAGGCTGAAGTGATTCTCCCGCCTCAGCCTCCTGAGTAGCTGGGACTACAGGTGCACGCTACAAAACCTTGCTAATTTTTTGTATGTTTAGTAGAGATCAGGTTTCACCGTGTTGGCCAGGCTGGTCTCAAACTCCTGACCTCAGATGATCTGCTTGCCTCAGCCACCCAAAGTGCTGGGATTACAGGCGTGAGCCACTGCACCTGGGTGGGGGTCATATCTTATGTGGGACTTTGCTTTCTGTCTGCACAGAGTCATATTTATGCTCCCTCATTTAATGTTTTCTCTTGGGCTTTGAATTCATTCGTAATAGTTTATTTTATAAGTGCTCCTGCACACACTCCGTTGGCAGATAGAGCTTTATTTTTATATCGGATGATTCCCTCCAGATGCGTTTCTAACAGCAGAATTCATGTGTGAAACAACACAAGGTCCACGTCGTCCTTCTGTCTCAGAGACCAGTGTGCAAGGCCTGAGGGACCCACCTTCCGTCACCCGTTCTGCTTTCTTTACAGGGTGTGTCCGCAGCCGGCCAGGTGGTATCCCTGAAGGTGTGGCTGATTGACAACATTCTAGAAAAGATCAACAGCCACCTTCCCTCTCACATTCGGATCCTGGGTAAGTCTTGCAGTGCTGGCGGCCACACGCCTGGTTGTAGATGGTCTTGCAGAGACACGAGGCTATGCAGGCTCTTGCCTTTTCCACCTGTCACTGGTGCAGAAGTGGAGTCAGAGCTGCCTTGCAGCTGGTTCTGACCTTCTCAGAAACGGGCAGCTAGACAGGGGTAGAAGCTTCTCATTTGCAGTGCTTGTGGCCACACGGGTGCCTTGTTTTTATCAAACACTGGATGTGAAAATCCAAATTTGTGGTTAAAATGAACAGTTGTTCCCTTTTATGGCAGTACTGATAAATGGAATTTTTAGGCCTTCTTAAAATGAAACTCTCTGCCTTGTAAGTGGCAGGTACAGGTAACTTAACGTACATACATTGATTCCTTCATTGATTCATTTATTCTGTTTGTTTTTTGAGAGAGTCTCACTCTGTCACCCAGGCTGGAGTCCAGTGGTGTGATCGTGGCTCACTGCAGCCTCCGCCTCCCAGGAGCCTCCGCCTCCCAGGTTCAAGCGGTCCTCAGCCTCCTCAGTAACTGGAACTACAAGTGTGTGCCACCACGCTTAATTTTTGAGTTTGTAGAGATGGGGTCTCATTTTGTTGCCAAGGCTGGTCTTGAACTCCTGGGCTCAAGGGATCCTCCTGCCTTGGCCTCCCAGAAGCCACTTATATTGAATGTATTGATAGGTGTGGCTGGGCGTGAATCTATCATCTTGCTCTGTTTTCTTTTCCTTTTTGTTTTGGTGTAATCCCAAGAAAACAGAACTGTTGTCTGCCTGACTGGTCTGCTTGGAGAAAGGTGTTTTTTTGAGACAGGGAGACAGGGTCTTGTTCTATAGCCCAGGCTGGAGTTGCGATCACAGTTCACTGTAGCATTGACCACCTGGGCTCATGCGATCCTCCCGCCTCAGCCTGCAAGCACACGCCACCACAGCCAGCTAAATTTTAATTTTTTTGGTAGAGATGGGGTTTCGCCATGTTGCCCAGGCTGGTCTCAAACTCCTAGGCTCAATCAGTCTACCTGCCTCAGTCTTCCAAAGTGTTGGGATTACAGGCGTGAGCTGCTGTGCCCGGCCCACAGCCTGACTATGTTAAGATTCATCCATGCTGTTGTGTACGTCAGCAGTCTGTTCCTTCTCATGGCTGCGGGGTGTTCCGTTCTGCGGTGTATCACGGATTGTTTATACACAACCTGCTGATGACACTGGGTGATTTCCAGTTTTGGGCTGTTAGAAGTAAAGCCACTGTGAACATTTATGTATGAGTCATAAATAGGATTCAGTAATCCCTGTTGATTTTACCCACTGTTAAGTTTTTATTTTTACTTTTTTGTGATGGAGTCTTGTTCTGTTGCCCAGGCTGGAATGCAGTGGTGTGATCTCGGCTCACTGCAACCTCCACCTGCCTCCTGGGTTCAAGCGATTCTCCCACCTTGGCCTTCCCAGTAGCTGGGATTACAGGTACACACCACCACACCCGGCTAATTTTTGTATTTTTAGTAGAGATGGGGTTTCACCATGTTGGTCAGTCTGGTCTCAAACTCCTGACCTCAGGTGATCCGCCCACCTCGGCCTCCCAAAGTGCTGGGATTATAGGCGTGAGCCACTGCACCCAGCAATAGTTTCATTTTTTATTAATTTTTTTTTTTTTTTTGAGATGGAGTTTCGCTCTTGTTGCCCAGGCTGGAATACAATGGCGCGATCTTGGCTCACCACAACCTCCACCTCCCAGGTTCAAGTGATTCTCCTGCCTCAGCCTCCCGAGTAGCTGGGATTACAAGCATGTGCCACCACGCCCAGCTAATTTTGTCTTTTTAGTGAATACGGGGTTTCTCCATGTTGGTCAGGCTGGTCTTGAACTCTCGACCTCAGGTGATCCGCCTGCCTTGACCTCCTGAAGTGCTGGGATTACCAGCAGCTGGGGATTACAGGCGTGAGCCACCACACCCGACAATAGTTTTATTTTTGTTATGCTGGGCTTCCTCTGCCTTCTGAGGATAATTTCCTCCTGAGAAACTTCCCATAGAATAAGTCCTCTGAAAGTTGTGTTTGAGTTCTCTTCCCATTCATTTGTATGGAAAATACTTGAGTATTCTGTAGATTAATCCCTATCATGCTCAACAGTGCCACATCTGTGCAGTTGTTGGGTAGTCGCTGTCACCCACACGCCGTGGTGCAGGCCAGCAGGGCCCTCCCCAGGTCTGCAGTGTGGCCATCTGCTGGCACTTTGCAGCCTTTCTTAGCAGTTATGTCTGGAACAACCAGAATTATGCTTACAGCGCATCCTTGTGATATTTAGTGTTTATGAAATGGAATCTTTAAAACCAAAAAAAACCAAAAAAGTCACTCAGAAACAAACATGACTGGAGACAAAAGCACGAGGCATGCGGTGCCAGCGCCCATGGGATCCATGTGACTAGCGACCCGGGCCGGGCAGACTGTGTGGAGGCACCCCACTGCTTGTGAGGTCACAAGGCCCAGGCCAGTCCTTGTAAATGGGAAACCATAGTTGGGTGTTAAATCAGACTCCTGGCTGGGTGCGGTATCCAACACCTGTAATCCCAGCATTGTGGGAGGCTGAGGTGGGCGGATCACGAGGTCAGGAGTTCAACATGGTGAAACCCCATCTCTACCAAAAATACAAAAGTTAGCTGGGCGTGGTGGCAGGTGCCTGTAATCCCAGCTACTCGGGAGGCTGAGACAGGAGAATCACTTAAACTCGGGAGGCGGAGGTTGCAGTGAGCCGAGACTGCATCACTGTACTCCAGCTTGGGCAACAGAGTGAGACTTCATCTCAAAAAAAAAAAAAAAAATCAGACTCCTGAGGTGAGGTGGAATCCTAGCAGCCGGAGGGGCCTGCATGTCTCAGCCACAATGCAAGCTCCTGGAGGAGGTGTGCAGCCCAGCAGAGGCAAGTCCAGGCAGAGCTTTCTCCTCCTAGCCCCTGAAGTTGGTGCCCTCAGTGAGGGTTACTCTTCTAGAATTCTTCCATTTAAACATAGATGTCCTCAACAGATTGGATCCCCCTGCATGCAGGTCTTCATTTGTCTTTAATTTTTGCTTATTCAATATTCAACAAATACTCACTGAACACCTGTGGGGTGCTGCTAGCGCTCAAGGCATCTTGGAGGGGCCGTGCCCTCAGTTCTTGGAGACTTGTCCCTGACCTGCGGGGCTGCATCCTTTTTTATCCTGCGAATATTCTGGCATTTATTAGGTCAGCCTGCAGTTGCTGGAATTCTAAGGTGGTTTCCAGTGTTTTTTGTTGTTGCAAACAGTGCTGCCTGTATGGCCTTGTCTGTAGAATTCACGCGACTTCTGAGCTGGGGTTACACCCTTCCCCTACATCTGGGGTTTTATTCCAGGGTGGGCTGCGCCAGTTCACACTGGATCCTTTGCCAGCACTGGGTTTTAACACACCCTTTGTTTTTGTTGTTTGGATGTGTGTTTAATTCCGAGATTAAGTATGCTACAGATTTAGAGTTTAGTGCACAAAAGCCCAATTCCTTTGTTTTAACAATTTTTTTTTTTGCTTTTATTATTATTATTATTATTATTATTTGATGGAGTCTCGCTCTGTTGCCCAGGCTGGAGTGCAGTGGTATGGTCTCAGCTCACTGCAAGCTCCACCTCCCGGGTTCACACCATTCTCCTGCCTCAGCCTCCTGAGTAGCTGGGACTACAGGCACCTGCCACCACGCCCGGCTAATTTTCTGTATTTTTAGTAGAGATGGAGTTTCACCCTGTTAGCCAGGGTGGTCTTGATCTCCTGACCTCGTGATCCGCCCACCTCAGACTCCCGAAGTGCTGGGATTACAGGCGTGAGCCACCGCTCCTGGCGTATTGTTATTATTTTTTGAGACAGAGTCTCGCTCTGACGCACAGGCTGGAGTGCAGTGGCACGATCTCAGCTCACTGCAACCTCCTCCTCATGGGTGCAAGCAATTCTCCTGCCTCAGCCTCCCGAGTAGCTGGGATTACAGGCGCCCGCCACCATGCCTGGCTAATTTTTGTATTCTTAATAGAGACGGGGTTTTGCCATGTTGCCCAGGCTGGTCTCAAACTCCTGACCTAGTGATCCACCCGCCTTGGCCTCCCAAAGTGCTGGGATTACAGGCATGAGCCACTGCACCGTGCCTAGCTGCTTTTATTATTTTAAATTCATGCATAATAATTATACACACTTATGTACAATAATGTGTGATATTTCCAGTCATGTGTAATGATCAAATAGGGCAATTAGCATAAATAGATCCATCACTCCAAGCATTTATCATTTCTTTGTATTGGAGACGTTTTGTATCTTCTTGCTATTGGAAAATTACAATAAATGGTTGTAAATTCAGTCACTTTATAGAGCACTGCACCTGTCCCTCGTGTCCACTGTCCTCCTGTGCCTGTTCCCCAACCTGTGGCTGTCCCCTCCCCAGAGAAGCCGATGCTTGCTGGAGCTTGGCTGGTGCTCTGGGTGAGGAGACGCTGGGGCTCACGCTGTGCTCAGGCTGCTCCCTGGTCATCCAGGCACCTCTCACCTGCCTCTCTCCTCACTGGTCACCTCTCTCCTCACTGGTCACCTCTCTCCTCACTGGTCACCCCTCTCCTAGGACTGAAGCGGGTCACAGGCGGGTTTAACTCCAAGAACAGATGTGATGCCAGGACCTACTGCTACCTGCTGCCCACGTTTGCCTTTGCGCACAAGGACCGGGACGTGCAGGATGAGACCTACCGCCTGAGCGCCGAGACGCTGCAGCAGGTCAACAGGCTCCTGGCCTGCTACAAGGGCACGCACAACTTCCACAATTTCACCTCGCAGAAGGGGCCACAGGAGCCCAGCGCCCGCCGCTACATCCTGGAGATGTACTGCGAGGAACCCTTTGTGCGGGAGGGCCTGGAGTTCGCAGTGATCAGGGTGAAGGGCCAGAGCTTCATGATGCATCAGATCCGGAAGATGGTTGGCCTGGTGGTGGCCATTGTGAAGGGTTATGCCCCTGAGAGTGTGCTGGAACGCAGCTGGGGCACAGAGAAGGTGGACGTGCCCAAGGCGCCAGGACTTGGCCTGGTCCTGGAGAGGGTGCACTTCGAGAAGTACAACCAGCGCTTTGGCAATGATGGGCTGCACGAGCCGCTGGACTGGGTGCAGGAGGAGGGCAAGGTCGCAGCTTTCAAGGAGGAGCACATCTACCCCACCATCATCGGCACTGAGCGAGATGAACGCTCCATGGCCCAGTGGCTGAGCACCCTGCCCGTCCACAACTTCAGTGCCACCGCTCTCACAGCAGCTGGCACAGGCGCCAAGGTAGGGGCACAGTCCCAGCAGTGCTCAGCACAGGCCCACATTGTTCCCATTGTACAGAGGAGGGAGCCGAGGCACAGAGAAGTGTGTCACTTCCCCCAAGGCCACACAGCAGCTGCAGGAGCAGGGCCAGGCGGTCTTGAGGTGTTCCTTGTGTGCCTGCCTGCGCCACCCGCTTGCTCCACCACCAGGTGCTTTTCGACTCTGGGAGGGCCACCCCGGGTCAGGCTTGCTGCTGGCACGCCTACTATGGACCTGGCACGGAGCGTAATCAGCGGCTAGACAGCTGCGGACTGTAGCTTAGAACTGGAACATACGGGATTTTACGTGTAGGAGCTAAAAGCTAAGTGAATGAAATTGTCATTCTCAGTTCTTTGCTCTGGGGTGAGAGATGTCCCCAAAACCTGAGTTCTTTCTTTTTTTTTTTTTTTTTTTTTGACACAGAGTCTCGCTCTGTTGCCCAGGCTGGAGCGCAGTGGTGCGATCTTGGCTCACTGCAAGCCCTGCCTCCTGGGTTCACATCATTCTCCTGCCTCAGCCTCCCTAGTAGCTGGGACTACAGGTGCCCACCAGCACTCCCGGCTAATTTTTTGTATTTTCAGTAGAGATGGGGTTTCACTGTGTTAGTCAGGGTGGTCTTGAACTCCTGACCTTGTGATCCACCCACCTCAGCCTCCCAAAGTGCCGGGATTCCAGGTGTGAGCCGCCGCGGTCGGCCAGCCTGAGTTCTTTCATGGTGGCCCAGTGAGGTTTCAAAGGGTGACATTCCCAGGCAGGGCTCAGGGAGATTCTTCGTGTCCTGGTATCTGTGAAAACAGAGTCCTTCCTGCATACCTGGGTGGCAAATTCAGTGTGTGCAGGCCCCAGGGAGGTAGGGTGAGCAGGCGAGGGGCCAGGCACCTGGCGAGCCGTCCTGTAGATGGGGCAGTGAGAGGCCCCCAGTCCGGGGACGGCAGGGAGTAGGGGGCCAGCGGTGGCCAGGAGCCCTCGTTTCATCTGAAGGGGATACTCGTGGCTCAGTGGCAGCTGGTGGTGGCCATGTTGGAATGTGACAGTGACCGCATGCTTAAATGTTGTTGAGGGAAACCAGCGTTGCACACTGGTATGGGAAATCTTCCCCTTTTTAAGTGCTGGTAGTTACTTTTTCCCAAGCCCAGTGCAGGCTAAATACAGCGCAGGTGCCAATTTGGCCTGGGCCAGTGGATTGCTGTTGACACCACTGATGACAGAGGCACATATACTTCCGAGGCACCTGCATTTGTTGAGCTTCCAATGGCTCCATATTATTTTCTGCTGTGGTCAGTGCAGCCTGTGAGAATGTGAAGGAGCCCAACAAAGGCCCCTCTAGTGTCCCCAGCCCTTGCCTTTCCCTGCGCAGGTTCCTGACCTGGTTAAGAGATGACCGAGAACAAACGCCAGCCTCTGCCCCGATGAGGGAATGGTGGGGGCAGGGCTTCTGTGCCGAGCCTGTCATGGGCACCTCCGGGCATTCAGGAGCAGTGGGGAGAGTGCTTGCCTCTCATTCTCCATGTGCTCTTCTTCTGCAGGTGCCCAGTCCCCTGGGAGGCAGCGAAGGGGACGGAGACACCGACTGAGGCGGTGGGAGCTGCCCACCAGAGTGCCTCTGAGCAGCTCACAGTGTGTGCCCTGGCGTGCCATCCCTGTGGGCAGCAAGAAGCTGGGATCGCTGCAGCCATGTTTTCCCAGCCATGAGAACCATGGTTTCTCAGGGCTGCCTGGCAGATGTGGCCTGGCGTTGTAACCTCAGGACCTTTCCTTGTAGGAACAGCCTTTCTCGAATCTATTTTCAGCTCTTGCATTGCACAGATGAACCTCAGCATGTAAATAACTATTTTTTTAAAGAAGTGATTTTCTTATTAAACAAGTACAAATTTTGCTTAGTCAGTCCTTCGTTTGCCTTTTTCTTAATCTTTTTTTACATTTTTTTCATTCAGAGAGATGAGCAGAGCATGTTATCCTGTTGAGAACAGGCCTGAGGCAGGCCCGGGAGGTTGCTCAGCCTGTAATCCCAGCACTTTGGGAGGCTGAGGTAGGCAGATCGCTTGAGTACAGGAGTTCCAGACCAGCCTGGGTAAAATGGTGAAACCGCATCTCTGCAAAAAATTAACTGGGCATGGCGGCGTGCCCTGTAGTTCAGCTGCTCAGGAGGCTGAGGTGGGAGGATTGCCTGAGTCTGGGGAAGTCAACGCTGTCCTGATCGCCACTGCACTAACAAAAAACAACAAAAAAACCGGCCAGGCACGGTGGCTCATGCCTGTAATCCCAACACTTCGGGAGGCCGAGGTGGGCGGACCACTTGAGGTTGGGAGTTCGAGACCCGCCTGACCGGCATGGAGAAACCCTGTCTCTACTAAAAATAAAAAATTAGCTGGGCATGGTGATGGGCGCCTGTAATCCCAGCTACTTGGGAGGCTGAGGCAGGAGAATCACTTGAACCCGGGAGGTGGAGATTACAGTGAGCCTAGATCGGCCACTGCACTCCAGCCTGGGTGACAGAGCAAGACTCCATCTGAAAAAAAACGTAGCCTGCGCTCTGTGGGGTAGGGCCCTGAGGCAGGTCTGTGGGGAGCACTGGAGCAGGGGCTGCGCCGACCCGCCGCACCCCTGAGAGGGGTGGTATCCCTGGGCTCCTCTTCCTAGACAGCCCCGTGCATGCAACCTTTGCGCTGGTTGCAGGTCGGGACTCGCCTCAGCACTGCCCCGGGACTCGCCTCAGCACTGCCCCGGTGCCAGGCGGGTGAGGGCTGGGGCAGAAGGCAGAAGGAAGGGGCGTGTTGCAGAACAGGCCCCTAGTGGAGCTTTCTGGAAGACCCCACCAGCGGCTTCTTCACGTCATTGGTCACAGGTGTGTCCAGGGGCCGTTCGTAGCTGCAAGGGAGGCTGGGGATGACTGCTTTTGAACTGGCGCTCAGGGCAGAACAAAACACATTGCATTAGCTAGGAGCAGGGGATCCTCGGCGGCGGGCTGCTAGGAGCCCACGGAGGGGCTCAGCGCGGGAAGTGCTGTGCAGACGGGCGGCCTCCCAGCCTGCAGCCCCCGGGGCGCACGTGAGCAGCGAGCGAGCACATGCAACTAATGGACATGCGCCTGACGTCCCGACAACGCATGTGGCTCATGCGCAGGCGCCTGTCGCCCCAGCAGTGCGAGAGTGATGCACGCGCATGTGCCCGTGACGCGGTGGACACCATGGGTGAGAAGTGGGGCAGGACAGGTGGGCAGTGAGCTCCGAGGGCGTGGGGTGTCCAGGGGAGCGGAGCCGGTTTTAGGGATTTTGGCCAGAGGAGCAGTGGGGCTCACCGCTTCGGGAGCCAGGGAGTGCAGGGGTGAGGCCCACTGGGCTTTGGGTTTGAGGGACGGATGAGCTGGGCCGTTAACTGGAATGGAGATAGGGAAAGGAATGGGTTTGGAGAACTAGCAGGAGCTTGGTTCTAAGCATGTTAATTTTACCTGGGATAGACAGGACTTTATTTTTTATTTTTATTTTTTTTGAGAGGGAGTCTCACTCTGTTGTCCAGGCTGGAGTGCAGTGGCGTGATCTCGGCTCACTGCAACCTCCGCCTCCCAGGCTCAAGCGAGTCTCCTGCCTCGGCCTCCAGAGTAGCTGGGATTACAGGCACCTGCCACCACGCCCGGCTGATTTTTGTATTTTTGGTAGACGCTGGGTTTCACCACGTTGGCCAGGCTGGTCTCGGACTCCTAAGCTCAGGTGATCCACCCACCTTGGCCTCCCAAAGTGCCGGGATTACAGGCGTGAGCCACCACGCCTGGCCTGGGTGACCCATTTAAATCACCTTTGATGATACGGGGATATGTGACATTTTAAAGTAATATGTATACATGGAAGGAAATAAAAAAAGTATAAAAAAGGGAAGTTGCCTTTCATTCTCTAATTCCCAGTATCCCTGTCCGGAGCCCACTGCTCTCGCCAGTGCCCTGTGGCTTCTTCTGGAGAGTTCCGTGTATACATAAGCATGCCTGAGTCTTTGCAAGGAGGATAATGCATCTTGAACAAACACAGGATATTTTCACTGCTCTGTGGTAGCCAGAAGGTTTCTTTCTCTTTTTCTTTTTTTCTATTTTGAGATAAGGTCTTGTTGTGTAGTCCAGGCTGGAGTGCAGTGGTGCGATCATAGCTCAGTACAGCCTCCACCTCCTGGGCTCAAGCGATCCTCCAGCATCCCAAGCACCTGGGACTACAGGCACACCACCATGCCGAGTGAGTGCAGTGGCGCAAACTTCGGCTCACTGCAACATCCAGCCTCTCCTGGGTTCCAAGTGATTCTCCTGCCCCTTCAGACTCCCAAGTAGCTGGGTCTGCCATTAAGCCCCAGCTATTTTTTTGGTGTTTTTTAATAGAGAATGGGGTTTCACCCCCGTGTTAGCCCCAGGATGGTCCTCGATCTCCTGACCTCGTGATCCGCCCCACTCGGCCTCCCGCAAGTGCTGGGATTACAGGCGTTGAGCCCACCGCTGTCCGGCCAATTTTTTTTTTTAATTAGCCCT